CCTGGGGGTGTGGTTGAGTGGAAGGTGGGTTCATCCATCCCTAAGCAAACGTCAATGGTTCAATCCTTGGCTTTGGGAATGGAGCTGCCTTAAATCTACAGGTCAGTTGTCCCACACAAAAGAGTTACCTACAATCCAGCGAGGGGATTACCCAAAAAAGGTGCCTACAATCCAGCGAGGGGAGTAGTCGCTATGTCCGACGGTTGAAACTCTGGGTATACCACCCCCCAATTACTATCTCAGCATTCACCTAGCAAGGTTGACCCTAGTCCACAGAATAATTTGCACTTCTCAATCATTATACCGTGAATCCTTGTCTAAAAGGCTAATTTTGAATTCTATTTTTATTTTGGACAACTATTAAGAAATTCGACTCCACTAGGGATCAAACCCAAAATCTCTGGTTTCGTAGACCAGCACCTTATCTATTGGGCCATGGAGTCTTGATGTTAAACAAAACCCTTTAAACCTGGGGGTGTGGTTTAGTGGAAGGTGGGTTCATCCATCCCCAAGCAAACGTCATGGGTGTGGCTTTTGGAATGGAGCGGCCTTAAATCTACAGGTCAGTTGTCCCACCCAAAAGAGTTGCCTACAATCCAGCAAGGGGTTTAGTCACTATGTCCGACGGTTGAATCCCTGGGTATACGACCCCCACCCCCCAATAGCATATTTTGGATAAGTTGTAACAACGTTCCCCATGCAAGGTTGACCATAGTCCACAGAGTAATTTGCACTTTTCAATCATTATACCGTGAACCCTTGTCTAAAGGGCTAATTTTGAATTCTATTTTTATTTTGGACAACTATTAGGAAATCCGACTCCACTGGGGATCGAACCCAAAATCTCTAGTTTCGTAAACCAGCACGTTATCCATTGGGCCATGGAGTCTTGTTGATGTTAAACAAAACCCTTTCAACCTGGGGGTGTGGTTGAGTGGAAGGTGGGTTCATCCATCCCTAAGCAAACGTCAAGGGTTCAATCCTTGGCTTTGGGAATGGAGCGGCCTTAAATCTACAGGTCAGTTGTCCCACCCAAAAGAGTTGCCTACAATCCAGCGAGGGAATTAGTCACTATGTCCGCCAGGCCAGTTGTCCCACCCAAAAGAGGTGCCTACAATCCAGCGAGGAGATTAGTCTCTATTTCCGACGGTTGAAACCCTGGGTATACCACCCCCACCCCCCAATTGCCATATCTGTCACCTTGCAAGGTTGACCCGAGTCCACAGAATAATTTGCACTTCTCAATCATTATACCGTGAACCCTTGTCTAAAGGGCTAATTTTGAATTCTATTTTTCTTTTGGACAACTATTAAGAAATTCGACTCCACTAGGGATCAAACCCAGAATCTCTGATTTCGTAGACCATCACCTTATCCATTGGGCCATGGAGTGGAAGGTAGGTTCATCCATCCCTAAGCAAACGTCAAGGGTGTGGCTTTGGGAATGGAGCGGCCTTAAATCTACACGTCAGTTGTCCCACCGAAAAGAGTTGCCTACAATCCAGCGAGGGGATTAGTCACTATGTCCGACAGGCCAGTTGTCCCACCCAAAAGAGGTGCCTCGGTTGAATCCCTGAGTATACCACCCCCACCCCCCAATTGCCATATTTTGGGTGAGATGTGACAGCGTTCACCTTGCAAAGTTGACCATAGTCCACAGAATAATTTGCACTTCTCAATCATTATACCGTGAACCCTTGTCTAAAGGGATAATTTTGAATTCTATTTTTATTTTGGACAACAATTAAGAAATCCGACTCCACTGGGGATCGTCCCCAGAATCTCTGGTTTCATAGACCAGCACCTTATCCATTGGGCCATGGAGTCTTGATGTTAAAAAAAACCCTTTAAACCTGGGGGTGTGGTTGAGTGGAAGGTGGGTTCATCCATCTCTAAGCAAACGTCAGGGGTGTGGCTTTGGGAATGGAGCGGCCTTAAATCTACAGGTCAGTTGTCCCACCCAAAAGAGTTGCCTACAATCTAGCTAGGGGATTAGTCTCTATGTCCGACAGGCCAGTTGTCCAACCCAAAATAGGTACCTACAATCCAGCGAGGGGATTACCCCAATTGCCATATTTTGGGTGAGTTATTTTGGACAACTATTAAGAAATCCGTCTCCACTGGGATCGAACCCAGAATCTCTGGTTTCGTAGACCAGCACCTTATCCATTGGACCATGAAGTCTTGATGTTAAACAAAACCCTTTCAACCTGGGGGTGTGGTTGAGTGGAAGGTGGGTTCATCCATCCCTAAGCAAACGTCAAGGGTTCGATCCTTGGCTTTGGGAATGGAGCTGCCTTAAACCTACAGGTCAGTTGTCCCACCCAAAAGAGTTACCTACAATCCAGCGAGGGGATTACCCAAAAAAGGTGCCTACAATCCAGCGAGGGGATTAGTCGCTATGTCTGAGTCCACAGAATAATTTGCACTTCTCAATCATTATACCGTGAACCATTGTCTAAAGGGCTAATTTTGAATTCTATTTTTATTTTGGACAACTATTATGAAATTCGACTCCACTGGGGATCGAACCCAGAATCTCTGGTTTCGTAGACCAGCACCTTATCCATTGGGCCATGAAGTCTATATGTTAAACAAAACCCTTTCAACCTGGGGGTGTGGTTGAGTGGAAGGTAGGTTCATCCATCCCTAAGCAAACGTCAAGGGTGTGGCTTTGGGAATGGAGCGGCCTTAAATCTACACGTCAGTTGTCCCACCGAAAAGAGTTGCTTACAATCCAGCGAGGGGATTAGTGACTATGTCCGACATGCCAGTTGTCTCACCCAAAAGAGGTGCCTACCTGGAGGGGATTAGTCACTATGTCCGACGGTTGAATCCCTGGGTATACCACCCCCACCCCCCAATTGCCATATTTTGGGTGAGTTGTGACAGCGTTTACCTTGCAAAGTTGACCATAGTCCACAAAATAATTTGCACTTCTCAATCATTATACCGTGAACCCTTGTCTAAAGGGCTAATTTTGAATTCTATTTTTATTTTGGACAACAATTAAGAAATCCGACTCCACTGGGGATTGTCCCCAGAATCTCTGGTTTCATAGACCAGCACCTTATCCATTGGGCCATGGAGTCTTGATGTTAAAAAAAAACCCTTTAAACCTGGGGGTGTGGTTGAGTGGAAGGTGGGTTCATCCATCTCTAAGCAAACGTCAGGGGTGTGGCTTTGGGAATGGAGCGGCCTTAAATCTACAGGTTAGTTGTCCCACCCAAAAAAGTTGCGGCGTTAAATCTACAGGTCAGTTGTCCCACCCAAAAGAGTTGCCAACAATCCAGCGAGGGGATTAGTCAATATGTCCGACAGGCCAGTTGTCCCACCCAAAAGAGGTGCGTTGTCCGACTGTTGAATCCCTGGGTATACCACCCACACCGCCTGATTGCCATATTTTGGGTGAGTTGTGAGAGCGTTCACCTTGCAAGGTTGACCAATTTGCACTTCTCAATCATTATACCGTGAACTTTGTCTAAAGGTCTAATTTTGAAGTCTATTTTTATTTTGGACAACAATTAAGAAATTCGACTCCACTAGGGATCGAACCCAAAATCTCTGGTTTCGTAGACTAGCACCTTATCCATTGGGCCATGGAGTCTTGATGTTAAACTAAACCCTTTCAACCTGGGGGTGTGGTTGAGTGGAAGGTGGGTTCATCCATCCCTAAGCAAACGTCAAGGGTGTGGCTTTGGGAATGGAGCGGCCTTAATTCTACAGGTCAGTTGTCCCACCCAAAAAAGTTGCGGCCTTAAATCTACAGGTCAGTTGTCCCACCCAAAAGATTTGCCTACAATCCAGCGAGAGGATTAGTCAATATGTCTGACAGGCCAGTTGTCCCACCCAAAAGAGGTGCCCTATGTCCGACGGTTGAATCCCTGGGTATACCACCCCCATCGCCCGATTGCCATATTTTGGGTGAGTTGTGAGAGCGTTCACTTGCAAGGTTGACCATAGTCCACAGAATAATTTGCACTTCTCAATCATTATACCGTGAACCTTGTCTAAAGGGCTAATTTTGAAGTCTATTTTTATTTTGGAAAACTATTAGAATATCCGACTCTATGGGGATCGAACCCAGAATCTCTGGTTTCGTAGACCAACACCATATCCATTGAGCCATGGAGTCTTGATGTTAAATAAAACCCTTTCAACCTAGGGGTGTGGTTGAGTGGAAGGTGGGTTCATCCATCCCTAAGCAAACGTCAAGGGTTCGATACTTGGCTTTGGGAATGGAGCGGCCTTAAATCAACAGATCTGTTGTCCCACCCAAAAGAGTTGCCTACAATCCAGCGAGGGGATTAGTAACTATGTCCGACGGTTGAAACTCTGGGTATACCACCCCCAACCCCCGATTACTATCTCAGCGTTCACCTTGCAAGGTTGACCTTAGTCAACAAAATAATTTGCACATCTCAATCATTATACCGTGAACCCTTATCTAAAGGGCTAATTTCCTTTAGACAACTATAAAGAAATTTGACTCCACTGGGGATCAAACCGAAGATCTCTAGTTTCGTAGACCAACACCTTATCCATTGGGTCATGGAGTCTTGATGTTGAACAAAACCCTTTCAACTTGAGGGTGTGGTTGAGTGGAAGGTGGGTTCATCCATCCCTAAGCAAACGTCGGGTGTGGCTTTGAGAATGGAGCGGCTTTAAATCTACAGGTCAGTTGTCCCACCAAAAAGAGTTGCCTACAATCCAGCGAGGGGATTAGTCACTATGTCCGACAGGCCTGTTGTCCCACCCAAAAGAGGTGCCTACAATCCAGCTAGGGAATTAGTCACTATGTCCGACGGTTGAATCCCTGGGTATACCACCCCCACCCCCCCAATTGCCATATTTTGGGTGAGTTGTGACAGCGTTCACCTTGCAAAGTTGACCATAGTCTACAAAATAATTTGCACTTCTCAATCATTATACCATGAACCCTTGTTTAAAGGGCTAATTTTGAATTCTAATTTTATTTTGGACAACTAGTTTAAGAAATCCAACTCCACTGGGGATTTAACCCAGAACCTCTGGTTTCGTAAACCAGCACCTTTCCATTGGGCCATGGAGTCTTGATGTTAAATTAAGCCCTTTCAACCTGGGGGTGTGGTTGAGTGGAAGGAGGGTTGATCCATCCCTAAGCAAATGTCGGGTGTGGCATTGGGAATGGAGCGGCCTTAAATCTACAGGTCAGTTGTCCCACCCAAAAGAGTTGCCTACAATCCAGCGAGTGGATTAGTCACAATGTCCGACAGGCCTGTTGTCCCACCACCCCCAAAAGAGGTGCTTACAATCCAGCGAGGGGATTAGTCACTATGTCCGACGGTTAAATCCCTGGGTATACCACCCCCACCCCCTAATTGCCTTATGATGGGTGAGTTGTGACAGCGTTCACCTTGCAAGGTTGACCATAGTCCACAGAGTAATTTGCACTTTTCAATCATTATACCGTGAACCCTTGTCTAAAGGGCTAATTTTGAATTCTATTTTTATTTTGGACAACTATTAGGAAATCCGACTCCACTGGGGATCGAACCCAAAATCTCTAGTTTCGTAAACCAGCACGTTATCCATTGGGCCATGGAGTCTTGTTGATGTTAAACAAAACCCTTTCAACCTGGGGGTGTGGTTGAGTGGAAGGTGGGTTCATCCATCCCTAAGCAAACGTCAAGGGTTCAATCCTTGGCTTTGGGAATGGAGCGGCCTTAAATCTACAGGTCAGTTGTCCCACCCAAAAGAGTTGCCTACAATCCAGCGAGGGAATTAGTCACTATGTCCGCCAGGCCAGTTGTCCCACCCAAAAGAGGTGCCTACAATCCAGCGAGGAGATTAGTCTCTATTTCCGACGGTTGAAACCCTGGGTATACCACCCCCACCCCCCAATTGCCATATCTGTCACCTTGCAAGGTTGACCCGAGTCCACAGAATAATTTGCACTTCTCAATCATTATACCGTGAACCCTTGTCTAAAGGGCTAATTTTGAATTCTATTTTTCTTTTGGACAACTATTAAGAAATTCGACTCCACTAGGGATCAAACCCAGAATCTCTGATTTCGTAGACCATCACCTTATCCATTGGGCCATGGAGTGGAAGGTAGGTTCATCCATCCCTAAGCAAACGTCAAGGGTGTGGCTTTGGGAATGGAGCGGCCTTAAATCTACACGTCAGTTGTCCCACCGAAAAGAGTTGCCTACAATCCAGCGAGGGGATTAGTCACTATGTCCGACAGGCCAGTTGTCCCACCCAAAAGAGGTGCCTCGGTTGAATCCCTGAGTATACCACCCCCACCCCCCAATTGCCATATTTTGGGTGAGATGTGACAGCGTTCACCTTGCAAAGTTGACCATAGTCCACAGAATAATTTGCACTTCTCAATCATTATACCGTGAACCCTTGTCTAAAGGGATAATTTTGAATTCTATTTTTATTTTGGACAACAATTAAGAAATCCGACTCCACTGGGGATCGTCCCCAGAATCTCTGGTTTCATAGACCAGCACCTTATCCATTGGGCCATGGAGTCTTGATGTTAAAAAAAACCCTTTAAACCTGGGGGTGTGGTTGAGTGGAAGGTGGGTTCATCCATCTCTAAGCAAACGTCAGGGGTGTGGCTTTGGGAATGGAGCGGCCTTAAATCTACAGGTCAGTTGTCCCACCCAAAAGAGTTGCCTACAATCTAGCTAGGGGATTAGTCTCTATGTCCGACAGGCCAGTTGTCCAACCCAAAATAGGTACCTACAATCCAGCGAGGGGATTACCCCAATTGCCATATTTTGGGTGAGTTATTTTGGACAACTATTAAGAAATCCGTCTCCACTGGGATCGAACCCAGAATCTCTGGTTTCGTAGACCAGCACCTTATCCATTGGACCATGAAGTCTTGATGTTAAACAAAACCCTTTCAACCTGGGGGTGTGGTTGAGTGGAAGGTGGGTTCATCCATCCCTAAGCAAACGTCAAGGGTTCGATCCTTGGCTTTGGGAATGGAGCTGCCTTAAACCTACAGGTCAGTTGTCCCACCCAAAAGAGTTACCTACAATCCAGCGAGGGGATTACCCAAAAAAGGTGCCTACAATCCAGCGAGGGGATTAGTCGCTATGTCTGAGTCCACAGAATAATTTGCACTTCTCAATCATTATACCGTGAACCATTGTCTAAAGGGCTAATTTTGAATTCTATTTTTATTTTGGACAACTATTATGAAATTCGACTCCACTGGGGATCGAACCCAGAATCTCTGGTTTCGTAGACCAGCACCTTATCCATTGGGCCATGAAGTCTATATGTTAAACAAAACCCTTTCAACCTGGGGGTGTGGTTGAGTGGAAGGTAGGTTCATCCATCCCTAAGCAAACGTCAAGGGTGTGGCTTTGGGAATGGAGCGGCCTTAAATCTACACGTCAGTTGTCCCACCGAAAAGAGTTGCTTACAATCCAGCGAGGGGATTAGTGACTATGTCCGACATGCCAGTTGTCCCACCCAAAAGAGGTGCCTACCTGGAGGGGATTAGTCACTATGTCCGACGGTTGAATCCCTGGGTATACCACCCCCACCCCCCAATTGCCATATTTTGGGTGAGTTGTGACAGCGTTTACCTTGCAAAGTTGACCATAGTCCACAAAATAATTTGCACTTCTCAATCATTATACCGTGAACCCTTGTCTAAAGGGCTAATTTTGAATTCTATTTTTATTTTGGACAACAATTAAGAAATCCGACTCCACTGGGGATTGTCCCCAGAATCTCTGGTTTCATAGACCAGCACCTTATCCATTGGGCCATGGAGTCTTGATGTTAAAAAAAACCCTTTAAACCTGGGGGTGTGGTTGAGTGGAAGGTGGGTTCATCCATCTCTAAGCAAACGTCAGGGGTGTGGCTTTGGGAATGGAGCGGCCTTAAATCTACAGGTCAGTTGTCCCACCCAAAAAAGTTGCGGCGTTAAATCTACAGGTCAGTTGTCCCACCCAAAAGAGTTGCCAACAATCCAGCGAGGGGATTAGTCAATATGTCCGACAGGCCAGTTGTCCCACCCAAAAGAGGTGCGTTGTCCGACTGTTGAATCCCTGGGTATACCACCCACACCGCCTGATTACCATATTTTGGGTGAGTTGTGAGAGCGTTCACCTTGCAAGGTTGACCAATTTGCACTTCTCAATCATTATACCGTGAACTTTGTCTAAAGGTCTAATTTTAAAGTCTATTTTTATTTTGGACAACAATTAAGAAATTCGACTCCACTAGGGATCGAACCCAGAATCTCTGGTTTCGTAGACTAGCACCTTATCCATTGGGCCATGGAGTCTTGATGTTAAACTAAACCCTTTCAACCTGGGGGTGTGGTTGAGTGGAAGGTGGGTTCATCCATCCCTAAGCAATCGTCAAGGGTGTGGCTTTGGGAATGGAGCGGCCTTAATTCTACAGGTCAGTTGTCCCACCCAAAAAAGTTGCGGCCTTAAATCTACAGGTCAGTTGTCCCACCCAAAAGATTTGCCTACAATCCAGCGAGAGGATTAGTCAATATGTCTGACAGGCCAGTTGTCCCACCCAAAAGAGGTGCCCTATGTCCGACGGTTGAATCCCTGGGTATACCACCCCCATCGCCCGATTGCCATATTTTGGGTGAGTTGTGAGAGCGTTCACTTGCAAGGTTGACCATAGTCCACAGAATAATTTGCACTTCTCAATCATTATACCGTGAACCTTGTCTAAAGGGCTAATTTTGAAGTCTATTTTTATTTTGGAAAACTATTAGAATATCCGACTCTATGGGGATCGAACCCAGAATCTCTGGTTTCGTAGACCAACACCATATCCATTGAGCCATGGAGTCTTGATGTTAAATAAAACCCTTTCAACCTAGGGGTGTGGTTGAGTGGAAGGTGGGTTCATCCATCCCTAAGCAAACGTCAAGGGTTCGATACTTGGCTTTGGGAATGGAGCGGCCTTAAATCAACAGATCTGTTGTCCCACCCAAAAGAGTTGCCTACAATCCAGCGAGGGGATTAGTAACTATGTCCGACGGTTGAAACTCTGGGTATACCACCCCCAACCCCCGATTACTATCTCAGCGTTCACCTTGCAAGGTTGACCTTAGTCAACAAAATAATTTGCACATCTCAATCATTATACCGTGAACCCTTATCTAAAGGGCTAATTTGCTTTAGACAACTATAAAGAAATTTGACTCCACTGGGGATCAAACCGAAGATCTCTAGTTTCGTAGACCAACACCTTATCCATTGGGTCATGGAGTCTTGATGTTGAACAAAACCCTTTCAACTTGAGGGTGTGGTTGAGTGGAAGGTGGGTTCATCCATCCCTAAGCAAACGTCGGGTGTGGCTTTGAGAATGGAGCGGCTTTAAATCTACAGGTCAGTTGTCCCACCAAAAAGAGTTGCCTACAATCCAGCGAGGGGATTAGTCACTATGTCCGACAGGCCTGTTGTCCCACCCAAAAGAGGTGCCTACAATCCAGCTAGGGAATTAGTCACTATGTCCGACGGTTGAATCCCTGGGTATACCACCCCCACCCCCCCAATTGCCATATTTTGGGTGAGTTGTGACAGCGTTCACCTTGCAAAGTTGACCATAGTCTACAAAATAATTTGCACTTCTCAATCATTATACCATGAACCCTTGTTTAAAGGGCTAATTTTGAATTCTAATTTTATTTTGGACAACTAGTTTAAGAAATCCAACTCCACTGGGGATTAAACCCAGAACCTCTGGTTTCGTAAACCAGCACCTTTCCATTGGGCCATGGAGTCTTGATGTTAAATTAAGCCCTTTCAACCTGGGGGTGTGGTTGAGTGGAAGGAGGGTTGATCCATCCCAAAGCAAATGTCGGGTGTGGCATTGGGAATGGAGCGGCCTTAAATCTACAGGTCAGTTGTCCCACCCAAAAGAGTTGCCTACAATCCAGCGAGTGGATTAGTCACAATGTCCGACAGGCCTGTTGTCCCACCACCCCCAAAAGAGGTGCTTACAATCCAGCGAGGGGATTAGTCACTATGTCCGACGGTTAAATCCCTGGGTATACCACCCCCACCCCCTAATTGCCTTATGATGGGTGAGTTGTGACAGCGTTCACCTTGCAAGGTTGACCACAGTCCACAGAATAATTTGCACTTCTCAATCATTATACCGTGACCCCTTGTCTAAAGGGATAATTTTGAATTCTATTTTTATTTTGGACAACTATTAGGAAATTTGACTCCACTGGGGATCGAACCCAGAATCTCTGGTTTCGTAGACCAGCACCTTATCCATTGGGCCATGGAGTCTTGATGTTAAACAAAACCCTTTCAACCTGGGGGTGTGGTTGAGTGGAAGGTGGGTTCATCCATCCCTAAGCAAACGTCAAGGGTTCGATCCTTGGCTTTGGGTATGGAGCGGCCTTAAATCTACAAGACAGTTGTCCCACCCAAAAGAGTTGCCTACAATCCAGCGAGGGGATTAGTCACTATGTCCGACGGTTAAAACTCTGGGTATACCACCCCCCAATTACTATCTCTGCGTTCACCTTGCAAAGTTGAGCATGAACCCTTGTCTAAAGGGCTAATTTTGAATTCTATTTTTATTTTTGACAATTATTAAGAAATCCGACTCCACTGGGGATCATCCCCAGAATCTCTGGTTTCATAGACCAGCACCTTATCCATTGGGCCAAGGAGTCTTGATGTTAAAAAAAAAACCTTTTAAACCTAGGAGTGTGGTTGAGTGGAAGGTGGGTTCATCCATCTCTAAGCAAACGTCAGGGGTGTGGCTTTGGGAATGGAGCGGCCTTAAATCTAAAGGTCAGTATTCCCACCCAAAAGAGTTGCCTACAATCTAGCTAGGGGATTAGTCTCTATGTCCGACAGGCCAGTTGTCCAACCCAAAATAGGTACCTACAATCCAGTTGTCCAACCCAAAATAGGTACCTACAATCCAGTGAGGGGATTACCCCAATTGCCATATTATGGGTGAGTTATTTTGGACAACTATTAAAAAATCAAACTCCACTGGGATTGAACCCAGAATCTCTGGTTTCGTAGACCAGCACCTTATCCATTGGGCCATGAAGTCTTGATGTTAAACAAAACCCTTTCAACCTGGGGGTGTGGTTGAGTGGAAGGTGGGTTCATCCATCCCTAAGCAAACGTCAAGGGTTCGATCCTTGGCATTGGGAATGGAGCTGCCTTAAATCTACAGGTCAGTTGTCCCACACAAAAGAGTTACCTACAATCCAGCGAGGGGATTACCCAAAAAAGGTGCCTACAATCCAGCGAGGGGATTAGTCGCTATGTCCGACGATTGAAACTCTGGGTATACCACCCCCCAATTACTATCTCAGCATTCACCTTGGAAGGTTGACCTTAGTCCACAGAATAATTTGCACTTCTCAATCATTATACCGTGAACCCTTGTCTAAAAGGCTAATTTTGAATTCTATTTTTATTTTGGACAACTATTAAGAAATCCGACTCCACTAGGTATCAAACCCAAAATCTCTGGTTTCGTAGACCAGCACCTTATCTATTGGGCCATGGAGTCTTTATGTTAAACACAACCCTTTAAACCTGGGGGTGTGGTTTAGTGGAAGGTGGGTTCATCCATCCCCAAGCAAACGTCAAGGGTGTGGCTTTTGGAATGGAGCGGCCTTAAATCTACAGGTCAGTTGTCCCACCCAAAAGAGTTGCCTACAATCCAGCAAGGGGTTTAGTCACTATGTCCGGAAGGCCAGTTATCCCACCCAAAAGAGGTGCCTACACAATCCAGCGAGGGGATTAGGCACTATGTTCGACGGTTGAATTCCTGGGTATACGACCCCCACCCCCCAATAGCATATCTTGGATAAGTTGTAACAACGTTCCCCATGCAAGGTTGACCATAGTCCACAAAGTAATTTGCACTTCTCAATCATTATACCGTGAACCCTTGTCTAAAGGGCTAATTTTGAATTCTATTTTTATTTTGGACAACTATTAGGAAATCCGACTCCACTGGGGATCAAACCCAGAGTCTCTAGTTTTGTAAACTAGCACGTTATCCATTGGGCCATGGAGTCTTGTTGATGTTAAACAAAACCCTTTCAACCTGAGGGTGTGGTTGAGTGGAAGGTGGGTTCATCCATCCCTAAGCAAACGTCAAGGGTTCAATCCTTGGCTTTGGGAATGGAGCGGCCTTAAATCTACAGGTCTGTTGTCCCACCCAAAAGAGTTGCCTACAATCCAGCGAGGTGATTAGTCACTATGTCCGCCAGGCCAGTTGTCCCACCCAAAAGAGGTGCCTACAATCCAGCGAGGAGATTAGTCACTATTTCCGACGGTTGAAACCCTGGGTATACCACCCACACCCCCCAATTGCCATATTTTGGGTGAGTTGTGACAGCGTTTACCCTGTAAGGTTGACTCGAGTCCACAGAATAATTTGCACTTCTCAATCATTATACCGTGAACCCTTGTCTAAAGGGCTAATTTTGAATTCTATTTTTATTTTGGACAACTATTAAGAAATTCAACTCCACTGGGAATCGAACCCAGAATCTCTGGCTTCGTAGACCAGCACCTTATCCATTGGGCCATGGAGTCTATATGTTAAACAAAACCCTTTCAACCTGGGGGTGTGGTTGAGTGGAAGGTAGGTTCATCCATCCCTAAGCAAACGTCAAGGGAGTGGCTTTGGGAATGGAGCGGCCTTAAATCTACACGTCAGTTGTCCCACCGAAAAGAGTTGCCTACAATCCAGGGGATTAGTCACTATGTCTGACAGGCCAGTTGTCCCACCCAAAAGAGGTGCCTACCTGTAGGGGATTAGTCACTATGTCCGACGGTTAAATCCCTGGGTATACCACCCCCACCCCCCAATTGCCATATTTTGGGTGAGTTGTGACAGCGTTCACCTTGCAAAGTTGACCATAGTCCACAGAATAGGCACCTCTGGAGGGGATTAGTCACTATGTCCGACGGTTGAAGCCCTGGGTATACCACCCCCACCCCCCAATTACCATATTTTGGGTGAGTTGTGACAGCGTTCACCTTGCAAAGTTGACAATAGTCCACAGAATAATTTGCACTTCTCAATCATTATACCGTGAACCCTTGTCTAAAGGGCTAATTTTGAATTCTATTTTTATTTTGGACAACAATTAAGAAATCCGACTCCACTGGGGATCGAACCCAGAATCTCTGGTTTCGTAGACCAGCACCTTATCCATTGGGCCATGGAGTCTTGATGTTAAACTAAACCCTTTCAACCTGGGGGTGTGGTTGAGTGGAAGGTGGGTTCATCCATCCCTAAGCAAACGTCAAGGATGTGGCTTTGGGAATGGAGCGGCCTTAAATCTACAGGTCAGTTGTCCCACCCAAAAGAGTTGCGGCCTTAAATCTACAGGTCAGTTGTCCCACCCAAAAGATTTGCCTACAATCCAGCGAGGGGATTAGTCAATATGTCCGACAGACCAGTTGTCCCACCCAAAAGAGGTGCGTACAATCCAGCGAGGGGATTAGTCCCTATGCCCCCCGATTGCCATATTTTTGGTGAGTTGTGACAGCGTTCACCTTACAAGGTTGACCATATTCCACAGAATAATTTGCTCTTCTCAATCATTATACCGTGAACCCTTGTCTAAAGGGCTAATTTTGAAGTCTATTTTTATTTTGGACAACTATTAGGAAATCCGACTCTATGGGGATCGAACCATTATACCGTGAACCCTTGTCTAACGGGCTAATTTTGAAGTCTATTTTTATTTTGGACAACTATTAGGAAATCCGACTCTATGGGGATCTTACCCAGAATCTCTGGTTTCGTAGACCAGCACCTTATCCATTGGGCCATGGAGTCTTGATGTTAAATAAAACCCTTTCAACATGGGGGTGTGGTTGAGTGGAAGGTGGGTTCATCCATCCCTAAGCAAACGTCAAGGGTTCGATCCTTGGCTTTGGGAATGGAGCGGCCTTAAATCAACAGGTCAGTTGTCCCACCAAAAGAGTTGCCTACGATCCGGCGAGGGGATTAATAACTATGCCCGACGGTTGAAACTCTGGGTATACCACCCCTAACCCCCAATTACTATCTCAGCGTTCACCTTGCGAGGTTGACCTTAGTCCACAGAATAATTTGCACTTCTCAATCGTTATACCCCGTGAACCCTTGTCTAAAGGGCTAATTTACTTTGGACAACTATTTTGAAATTCGACTCCACTGGGGATCAAACCCAAGATCTCAGGTTTCGTATACCAACACCTTATCAATTGGGCCATGGAGGTGTGGTTGAGTGGAAGGTGGGTTCATCCATCCCTAAGCAAACGTCAAGGGTGTGGCTTTGGGAATGGAGCGGCCTTAAATCTACAGGTCAGTTGTCGCACCCAAAAGAGTTGTGGCCGACAGGCCTGTCGCACCCAAAAGAGTTGCCTACAATCCAGCGAGGGGATTAGTCAATATGTCCGACAGGCCTGTTGTTCCACCCAAAAGAGGTGCGTACAATCCAGCGAGGGGATTAGTCCCTATGTCCGACGGTTGAAACTCTGGGTATACCACCCCCAACCCCCAATTACTATCTCAGCGTTCACCTTGCAAGGTTGACCTTAGTCCACAGAATAATTTGCACTTCCCATCAAATCCAGGATCTCTGGTTTCGTAGACCAACACCTTATCCATTGGGCCATGGAGTCTTGATGTTAAACAAAACCCTTTCAACCTGAGGGTGTGGTTGAGTGGAAGGTGGGTTCATCCATCCCGAAGCAAACGTCGGGTGTGGCTTTGGGAATGGAGCGGCCTTAAATCTACAGGTCAGTTGTCCCACCCAAAAGAGTTGCCTACAATCCAGCGAGGGGATTAGTCACTATGTCCGACGGTTGAATCCCTGGGTATACCACCCCCACCCCCTAATTGCCATATGTTGGGTGAGTTGTGACAGCGTTCACCTTGCAAGGTTGACCATAGTCCACATATTAATTTGCACTTTTCAATCATTATACCGTGAACCCTTGTCTAAAGGGCTAATTTTGAATTCTATTTTTATTTTGGACAACTATTAGGAAATCCGACTCCACTAGGGATCAAACCCAGAATCTCTGGTTTCGTAGAGCAACACCTTATCCATTGGGCCATGGAGTCTTGATGTCAAACAAAACCCTTTCAACCTGGCGGTGTGGTTGAGTGGAAGGTGGGTTCATCCATCCCTAAGCAAACGTCAAGGGTTCGATCCTTGGCTTTGGGAATGGAGCGGTCTTAAATCTACAGGTCAGTTGTCCCACCCAAAAGAGTTGCCTACAATCCAACGAGGGGATTAGTCACTATGTCCGACGGTTGAAACTCTGGGTATACCACCCCCAATTACTATCTCAGCGTTCACCTTGCAAAGTTGAGCGTGAACCCTTGTCTAAAAGGCTAATTTTGAATTCTATTTTTATTTTTGACAATTATTAAGAAATCCGACTCCACTAGGGATCGTCCCCAAAATCTCTGGTTTCATAGACCAGCACCTTATCCATTGGGCCATGGAGTCTTGATGTTAAAAAAAAACCCTTTAAACCCGGGGGTGTGGTTGTGTGGAAGGTGGGTTCATCCATCTCTAAGCAAACGTCAGGGGTGTGGCTTTGGGAATGGAGCGGCCTTAAATCTACAAGTCAGTTGTCCCACCCAAAAGAGTTGCCTACAATCTAGCTAGGGGATTAGTCTCTGTGTCCGACAGGCCAGTTGTCCAACCCAAAATAGGTACCTACAATCCAGCGAGGGGATTACCCCAATTGCCATATTTTGGGTGAGTTATTTTGGACAACTATTAAGAAAATCCGACTCCACTGGGATTGAACCCAGAATCTCTGGATTCGTAGACCAGCACCTTATCCATTGGGCCATGAAGTCTTGATGTTAAACAAAACCCTTTCAACCTGGGGGTGTGGTTGAGTGGAAGGTGGGTTCATCCATCCCTAAGCAAACGTCAAGGGTTCGATCCTTGGCTTTGGGAATGGAGCTGGCTTAAACCTACAGGTCAGTTGTCCCACCCAAAAGAGTTACCTACAATCCAGCGAGGGGATTAACCAAAAAAGGTGCCTACAATCCAGCGAGGGGATTAGTCGCTATGTCCGACGGTTGAAACTCTGGGTATACCACCCCCCAATTACTATCTCAGCATTCACCTTGCAAGGTTGACCCTAGTCCACAGAATAATTTGCACTTCTCAATCACTATACCGTGAAGCATTGTCTAACAGGCTAATTTTGAAATCTATTTTTATTTTGGACAACTATTAAGAAATCCGACTCCATTAGGGATCAAACCCAGAATCTCTAGTTTCGTAGACCAGTACCTAATCCATTGGGACATGGAGTCTTAATGTTAAACAAAACCCTTTAAACCTGGGGGTGTGGTTTAGTGGAAGGTGGGTTCATCCATCCCCAAGCAAACGTGGGTGTGGCTTTTGGAATGGAGCGGCATTAAATCTACAGGTCAGTTGTCCCACCCAAAAGGGTTGCCTACAATCCAGCAAGGGGTTTAGTCACTATGTCCGGAAGGCCAGTTATCCCACTCAAAAGAGGTGCCTACAATCCAGCGAGGGGATTAGACACTATGTGCGACTGTTGAATCCCTGGGTATACCACCCCCACCCCCCAATTACTATCTCAGCGTTCACCTTGCAAGGTTGACCTTAGTCCACAGAATAATTTGCACTTCCCATCAAACCCAGGATCTCTGGTTTCATAGACCAACACCTTATCCATTGGGCCATGGAGTCTTGATGTTAAACAAAACCCTTTCAACCTGAGGGTGTGGTTGAGTGGAAGGTGGGTTCATCCATCCCTAAGCAGACGTCGGGTGTGGCTTTGGGAATGGAGCGGCCTTAAATCTATAGGTCAGTTGTCCCACCCAAAAGAGTTGCCTACAATCCAGCGAGGGGATTAGTCACTATGTCCGACAGGCCTGTTGTCCCACCCAAAAGAGGTGCCTACAATCCAGCGAGGGGATTAGTCACTATGTCCGACGGTTGAATCCCTGGGTATACCACCCCCACCCCCCCAAATGCCATATTTTGGGTGAGTTGTGACAGCGTTCACCTAGCAA